TACTGAGAGAAATCATGCCCCAAAACCAATATCAAATTACATGAAAAAGAGAAAAAGGTAAATGATCATCAAATATAAAAAATCCAGGCCTCATTTCAACACAAGTAGATGAATTTTTTTGGAAATTATATTTATAGTTGCAAGTAGGGGTGTAAATGAGTCGAGTATCTGCCTTATTGAGCTAAGCTTGTTTAATTTTCAGTGAGCTCGATCTCGAGCTCTATTTTTGTGCTTGAGCTCAACTCGTTTAGGAAATATCAAGCTCGAGCTTGGCTCGAGTAATTGAGCTCGTTTGGAAAGCTCGAGCTCGACTCATTTATTTGGCTCGATTTTTTAATTTTTAATAATAAAAGTTAAAGTTTTTTAGAATTTTTACTTCCAACAATGACTTAAAATTTGTTCTCAATAAGATAACCAAGCATATAATATATTAAAATCCACTTTTGAATTTCTTATAAAAAAACCATGTTGTCCAACAAATAAATTAGTACGAGTTTAAAATTTCGAGCAATTTGGAAGTCACACAATAAACATTTCATGAAGTGATGAATATCAAGCTAAAAAAAAGAAAAATATATGAAAACATAAATTTGTGTATATCATTACATCATTAAATATATATATATATATATATATATATATATACAACTCATTAAGAAGTTTCATTATAAAGCCAAAATAAGAACTTAACAAAAGATAGAACTATTAATTGTCTTCATCTTTGTGATACTTCATACTCTTCGAATTCTTTCTTCTGGATTTTTGATTACTCTGCTGTGAAATTGAGAATTAATTTGAAAGATAAATGATTAGTCCATGTTTAAAGAGGATAATTGGAAGTAATACAATGCTATGTTTAGTAATTGTTGAAGAAAATATGCTTACCATACTTCATGATAGGAGATTGTGCGCTACCTATTATTGCATGAAAGATTTTGAAAAACAATAATTTCAAAAAGTGTCTGGGAGAATGAGAACCTGAAATAAATATTAATATTCAACATGCAAATTGACAAAACCTGAAAAAGCAAAGCACTAAAGCCTCTTTCTAAGGCAAGCGGTTTAAGAATATAACTAAATTATATAAAGCTGAAGTATCCTTAATTCTTGAGCAACTGACTTATATGCAGCATCCGTTAGTGATGGTTGAAACAAAAGAACAACAATGCTAACTGAACCCGAAATGGAGCATGCACAATAAAACAAGAACAGCATGCTGGCTTAGCAATAAAGTAGCCAATAGCCCTAACTGGAACAGAACAGCATGTTATCTCATTCCAATTTTATTTTTAAATTTACAGAATATAAAAAAAAAAGAAATCCAACTTCGACTTCATTTGGATTGGCTTTCTTATTACTTCTTAAAACATCTTTCTAGTACAAAAATTTTAATTTTTGTACTGAAAACTGCTTTAAAAAGTAGTAAAAAAATCATCCCAAACGAAGCCTCCATTTAAAAACAGAACTAATCAGTCACTTTCTTTGTTGTTTTCAATACAAAAGATGATTTGTAGTTGCTCTATATGTCTAATCTAAGTTTGCACTTAAGTTGCAACTTATTCATGAAGATGAACCCATATCTAAACAAGAGTTAGGATTTAATACTAAAACCAAATTCCATATTGATATTTAAAGTAAAATATAAAAATAAATTCAAAGTGAAATATCTACATTCAACCTCATAAGTTCTAATTGGTAGGAGAATCTCCACCTCTTAGTCATCTTCTTCTTCCTACAAAAAAGAAAGCACCACATATTCATATGTCATAATTTAAATTTAAACTAAATGAGTTCAATGAGTTAAAGTATGTTGTGATTAACACCATTACCTTGACCCTTCCCTTCAATGGTTGAACCAATATTGCCCAAAGCTAGCTTCTTCTTACAATGAAAACACTATACTTTTCTTTGCCCATTAGGGAGAATAACTTCCTTAAATTCATCCCATTTTTCCTCTTCTTCCTCTCAATTGCATTATCATTATCGTTTTCGTCATCCAATTCTTCAACATCATTTTCGTTATTCCCATCATTCTCTCTTTCATCTTCAGTGCCCATAACCAAGTCGAGCTTTAGCCGGCTCCCGAGTCAGCTCGGCTCACTTACACCCCTATAACCAACTACTACAAAAGTTTGTATTTTTGAGAGCTTTATTGGAAAATATCTATGGCTGCCTTCGATTACATGTGTGAAGCCATACATGACTTAGTTTTTTACCACGGTTGAAAGCCGATCTAAGATTCGATAATTCATCATGAGCCAACATGTGACAACTATTATCATGTCCCCTAGACAATCCTTTGTTGATTATTCCTAGTGTGATTTGAGGGTTTCTCTACTTGCATGATCGGCCAAGTTATTTGGAGGGTGGGAGATAAAGTTGTGATGGGAGAGAGAATGAGGCCAAAATAAATTGTATTAATTCTTAATATGAAGAATGCATGAATGCAGATGCATGTCCTTTTGGTTTATAATTAGTTTTTATTAAGAATATGAGAACTGAGATAGCTTACAATAACAAACTTGACTAATTTAAACTAGAAAAGTAAGGATTAGTTGGACATCTATTTGGATGATCCATTCCATTAGTTTTTGTAGTTAAATTACAAATAAAATAAGATAAAGTTAAATTAGGGGACTTGTATAAGCCTTGGATAAGGTTTCAGATCCTTATCCACCGGTATCTAAGTTTCATATCATATTGTGGGCGTTTGTAGTCTCTTTGTAGCCATTTGTGTTGCTCTATGTGGCTTCTCATTGTAGCCATTTATGAAGCATTTTTTTGTGAATTCACCATTGTGATAGATATGGGTCCAAGTAGTTTAATCCATTGTTTGAGTATGCACAATGTAGTTAATTCAGACCAAGTTAATCGAAGTATCTAAACTTGCTCAACTGGCCCAATTATAGAGCCTCTTAAATAAAAAAAGTCTTCCCATTGTTCTAGAAACCATGTTGCACTCATAGTTAACAATACAAATTGTCTTTTTTAAAAACATGAGTCGGCAATGAGTTTCACAATGCTTCTCTATGGAAAAAATAGAGAAAAGCTAATATGTGATATAATCACCATTAAATTACACAAGCACAATCACACATCAAATTTTCTTTAATGAATTAGTACATAAAAATATTTTTTTCTATTAGCACTTTTGAAAGTTTAGTCTCACCAACCAATTGATTGGATAGGTTTCAAGGGGATGACTGAGCAGTTATACTGTCTAAAGCATTTAAGTTTATGCTTTTGTTCATATGAGTGTTAAATTTTTAGAGATCCCATTCAGCAGCGCATATGATGTGGGATTTTTTTTTTGAGCTAATTGGAATTTATTTGTTTTTTCGCATGCAAACCTAGAATTACTGGTAACTGACATTTTCCATACTCTGGGCAGGAGAATGATTTTATCTATCAATGAGCATTAGCTCATGTTGTAGTATTCTGATAGGAAACACTTGGATTCACAAGTGTTCCTAGCCAAAATCAGTAAACTGCAGCGATGATATTGCTGTCCACAGCCGGAAACAGCCCACAAACAGAGAAAAACAGAAGTTTTATACGAGAAATCTGAGAAAAAACCAAACAAAACCCTTGTATTTCACTAGTAGATTAATAAAACAACAAAGATACAATTGATCCTCAATTCGAGAGGAGGATCGATCTCTCCCAAATCTCTAGACGCCGCTAGACCCCAAAGAAAACCTAAATCTAAGAGATCTCAAATTTAAGCCAAATTCAAGATGATCAAACCCTAGGAAAATCTACTATTTAATACATACAATTCAAAAGGAATTCCCTAAACAGTCCCTGCAATCAATTTCCCTCATAAACTTCCTCCAAAAAACTTCCTAAACGGCTCTACGTGGGCTGGTCGGGCCGCTCGTTCTCCGCCAGAAGGCGGATTTTCCGCCTGTTCGTGAATTTGCCGGTCCCGTGCGGACCGGCTGGACCAGTCTAACATATTCTCCCCTTCATAAAGTGCTAGATAAGGGTTTCAACTCTCATCCTTTTTGAGTGGTTAGAAAAAAAAAGGAAGATAATTTGTTAAATGATCCCAATATATTTAGAGCTTATCTACCATTCATATTAATAATACAAAATGGCTTCACGAATCTGACTGGAGACCTCAACTAGGTATATATCGATCTGTGTTTAAGAAGTGCTCCTAAATGAGATAGCCACAAATTAGCATGATATTTTCAAAATAATGTCTAAATTGATATGGTATTTAACTATTTATAAGCAAATGTCTAAAAGCATATTTGAAAGGTTGGTCTCTTTGAATTTTCTCTCAATGTTGCTGCATCAGCCAGTTACTTTTCTCAAACTTCATTTGGTTGTGCCTTTCAATTGTTTTGCTTTTCAAATACTTGGCATATTATTTTTTATTTGTTTGCAAAGAATGCAATGTAAAGGGCTATTCTGCATGTGCATCCCCATTCATGATTTCACCATTATAAGTGGGTGCATTTGAGAACAGCTTATCGATCTTTTTGGTGGTGATTTGATTTTGTTCCAAATAGTACAGCACAACAATCGCACAACAGTGTTAAATGAAGCCTAAACTTAAAAACATTGAAAAAACTGCCTTAGAGCTAGCTCCAATCAGCTAGGAGCTTAAATTATTTCATACACGGCTTGGAGGAGAAATGGTTCACAATTTGTTATAAAGTTGTCCAGAAAGGCAGAAAGGTTTGTAAATTTGGACATAGCATCATAAGTGCATCTAAATCAAACAGAATGGTGAGAAAGGATTCAAGAAGTTGCCTTGGGTAAGTGTGACTAAGCCTCTGCTACTGGGTGATGATAATTTTTAATTTGGGAAAACATTGGAATCTTGTAAATATTGTAAATTAAAATACCTATTTTAATTGAAATACTTTCTTGTAAAGTCATTCATATTTTTTATCCTTACAAGCCTGAATTTCTATCAAATATTTTATTATTATTATTATTATTATTATTTCCACTATGGTGATCATTTTTCTGGTTACTTTTTTTAGCATGGGCTGGTTTTGCTGAGCGGAGTCGGAACGGTAATAAATTTACTGTTGCTGAGAGGCCATTAAAGCAGTCGAGAAGAAACTTCTGCAGTGAATCTGTTGAATCTATAATTGAGGAGCGAAGGAATAGAAGAGAATTTGGTCTCCAGGATATGTTTCATGAGAGGAAAGCTGATCACTCGCAGGAAACAAACCTTTTGGGAGAGTTGTTTGATAGTTAAATAGGTTGACCTGTTTTGTGGACTGAATCATACCTCCTAAATTCCAGATCAGCAGAAATTAGATTGCTGACACTTGTCAGGGCTCCGAATCTAGCAGTTAGCTTTACACGCACTTGAAGCTGATCATACATCTACAGCTTCTATCTTAGCCCAATCCATGAAATTCACGGGGCCCCCTCTTCGTATTCTGCTATATTTTTGTACATCTTGGATCATGTTAGGCTATAGCGTGACTAATTATTTATTTTTGTTCAATATTTATTTCACTTGGGAAGAATGCACTATTATTTTTTGAGCCCAGATTAAGACTATGAATATCAAAGCAATTCTATTATGTTTACTGTAAAAAGCCAAATCAGTTATTGTTGTTACAACTATTCACATGCTTTCACAGAAGTAGGCATGAACAGAAGATGCTTCAGTTGGTTGAACTATAGATTCCCTCATTATGCTTTTGCTTTGCCATTTTTTCTTCTTGAATGTGTAGCATATTTCACTTGTTGAAATCTCCAACAAGATGCAAAAATTTGGGTTCCTTTTTGTAAATTTGAAGTAATTAAGCAACTAGACATTTATAACCCATTCAATCTCACATGCAATGGATTTGAACAACATGCATTTATATGCTTCATTGGACAAATCTACATCATCATTAGCCATAAACAAGACGGGCTCTCAGGGAATAGTAGCATATAATGTTTGATTTTTTAATCTGCTCATCATTCCTCAACCAAGCCTATAGTACTTTTAAGTCTTGTTTTCTTAACCTCATGCTCACCTTTCCAGAGTACGTTGATTCATAATAACTTCTTACAGGGAGAGGATGCTAGGTAACTTAGCTAAGTCTATCTAGGAGATGAGTTCTATACCCTGAAGCAGTAGTGCATCAGCCAAAATTTTGTTGGCGGCTTCTGAAGGGTGGAAGCTGTCCCAGAAAACATAGCCAGTGGCATTGGCACAAGTCCCCGGCGACCTCGCATTGCACAAAAGAGAAGTCTCAATGGTGCCTGTTCCACAACATGCCTTTCGTGCCTCGAAGAAACCTTTTACATGCAATTTTAGAAACATTAGCACAAGTTAGATATGAGAAGTAAATCCATTAGTGAAAAATGAAAATGCTCAAGGGGCAAGTATTTTGCTTTACCATTGTTCCCAGGGTTCTTGATGAGGTCTAACAAGGGATTGTACACATCAAATATGACAAGTTTGAGATCCGAGTGGCTTTTCTTAAGCGTTTCTGCAGCTGCGCTCACCTTCTTGTTAAAGGCAACTGCATCATTGTTCAGGCGATCAACACAGTTATTGCTGCCACCACCAAACAAGGTTATTGCGGCGGGCAAGCAACCGATTGGCGGCAGCGATGTCACACCAATCCTCCGGGCTCCCAGGCCATACATGTTCTGGTTTGTAGTTGTATCCCGTTGTTAGTACTTTTTCAAGGTAAACTTGGCTTTCCTATTGGGGGGATTACATAAAAAACACAAAAATCTCACCTATTTACAAAATGACTCATATGGATATGCATGTCACAATCAACTCATTAAAAATTTGACAAGAGAAAAATATCTGTTGATGTTTTGTTGAGTATTTTAATATTAGGGTGAAATTTGACTGTCATATATATGCCCTCTTTATGATTTTGTTTGCAAAATAAGAAACTGAGGCATCAACACAAGTTAGGCAGTGCGCTATATTTATTGAGAATCAGTTGAATTAATTTCATGTCTATTGTCTAGTATCTATCAGTGGTCAAATTATTTACTGCTTCGCGGCCTATATTTATTGTTGGTGTTGATCATGCTTTAGACACTTTGCCACATTTATAATATGTCAGTCTCACACTGAGTGGATACAGTGCAGTCCATTAACACAAAGGTGTCATTTTATGTCTGTCAAAGAACAGAGATTGCATGTGGGCGTTGAAATGCCTTTGACACCTTTATGAAACCACTTTAATGGGGCAGAGCTATGAATGAAATATATCTTAGATTTCATGTTGGACGGCTTTCTTACCGTTTTTTAATATAAATTTTAATTTTTGTACTTAAAATTAATTTAGGCTTCATTTGGAACGACTTGCTTACTGTTTCTTAAAGCAGCTTTCTTATAAAAAATTAAGAAAGCCGTCACAAACAAAGTTTTAAGAAGCAGTAAGAAAGTCGTCCTAAACGAAGTCTTAAGAAGCAATAAGAAAGCCGTCACCCAAACGAAACCTTAATTTGATCATCACTCAATTTGACTCTAGTACATTCAACGTCAAAGAGTTTTCTGTCATTCTCCATTTTTTTGTTGACCTAATGTAGTATTTTGTTGTCCCGTTTTATAGTTAGATATGTTATTGTTATCAAAGACTAGCCTTTTTCAAATCTACTGAGACTTGGACCAAATATTCTGTGAATATGTACTTATCATGTAGAAGTTTTGAGTAGCGGGTTGTTGCTGTATGATATAGTAACCTTCTACTTCAGTAGGGATCCGGTTTTTTCACAGTACAGTTGCAGACTAATAGGATACTTAATTGTTTTTTCAGGCCTGACAGTTTAGGTTTCGAATTTATTAGAGTTACTAAAGTTTACACTAAGTTGGTAGAAAAATAAGAGCTGGGCCATTTGGAATGGAGATTGTTCACGTAGTTTTTAGTTTGGATTCCAATCACATGAAGTGCGAATTATTACGTCCGGTGACCGGACGTCCGGACAGTCGGACACCCAATACAGACGCGTCACATCACTCAAATACACTGAGTCCCGGTATATTTTGGTGACGTGGCGCGTTTGGATTGGTTCCAGATGAATCCGGACACCGGACATAATAATTTGCCCGCACGAAGACACAGATTTTCTCTTTTTTTACACATTGTGTACAGAGAATAATTGTTTGGAGTCACTTTTATTTTTTTATCCTTTTATTTATATTTTAATTTGAAATAAAATATATTTATAATTTTAAAATTATTTTTTTAATTATATGACGGTGGTGGCAGTCGCCGGAGTGGCAACAATGACAACTGATGAGGCGGCATAGTGGTGCTGTGATAGTTTTTTTTTTAAACATTCAATGCAACTTTTTTTTTTGTTTTGTTTTTAAAAAATAACAAGAAATAGAAACAGTTGAGAACACACTAAGTAAATACATTTCTTGAAAATAAAAATAATAAAAACAAAAGTAAAAGTGATTCCAAACAGGTCTTACCCTTTGCAATTTGTTTCGTAGAACTTTGAAACTACTTCATAAAACGAAAATTTGAAAGCAGCTTCTCAAATTTTTAATGATATCAATGAAGTTGCTTACCTGAACAAACGAACCGAAGGAGAGGACGAGCAAGTTGGTGAACTGGTCAGGAGTGTAGGCTTCATTGATGAGGGGGTTGATGTAGTAGTTCTGTACGTAATCGCTGCTCCCCGCACTGAGGATGTTGATGGCGCCGGAGAATATTCCGGCAGCTTTTGCTCTTCCACCTACAATATTCTCCACCTTGCTCTGGTACTCCTTATAGTTCTCCAGCTGCTGGGTTAAGCTTATTGCATGCTGCACCCCATACACACATCATATTTGTTAGTTAATTTACAGATTACATCTACATGTATTTTAATGAAAATGTTCAAATGTTTCAGGAATGAACCGCACATAAAGGTTTGCAGTCCTGTCCAGGTACCCGGAGGAAGCAGAGGCAAAGTTGGCACCGGTGAGGAGGTTCTTCCCAGTTGCTTCTCTGCTGAGGTAAGCTGGCGGGTATGTGCTGAAACCCAGGTTTTCCACTGCATGCGAGTAATGGTTTACTTTTTTATTATTATTATTTAGTAGTAAGAGATTATAGCAACAATAAAAAGATGATTCTCCAACCGAAAACCCCATTTTCCACTCCAAAATGCAGTCATTTTTCTCCAATCGAACATCATTTCTTCTTCTTTCACGCCCTTCCTGCGAAGGTAACAATCTTTGGCTCGCTTTTCTTCTCTTTCGCACGCCAAATCCCGCAGCGATTTTTTTTGGCAAAGGTGACATTGATGTCACACTGTTCAACTATTGGAATTTGGCGTGCGATTTGGAGTTTGAATGGAATAAATGGCGGAAAACATACGGTGATATGAAGTTCGGTTAGAGATGGTCAAGGAGGGGGGGGGGGGGGGGGGGCAGGGGTGGGGGAGGTTAAAAAATTCTTTTCACAAAGGAAAGGCGAAACTTTTATAGTTCCACAACTGCATATACTCATAAATCATGGAGACTTGTGCAAATCAAAACAACATTTTACATGGTGAAACATGAAAACATGTAGAAGCAAATGAAGCATTGGTAAGTATGTGTTACCGGTGAAGTCAGTGGCTAGTTTGCCGTTGCAGAACCTGCCGGTGGGGGCGCCGCGGGTGGTGGTGAAGTCTCGGCCATAGGGAGGAAAGTTGGATTTGACGAGAGTGAGCAAGTAGTTATTGTTTCCTGTGTCCACAACCGAGTCGCCGAAGATCATCACGGCAGGCACCAGTCCTTGTCCCTCTGCTAAGCGCACCACTAAGCATGCTGCCGCCACCATTAGCAGAAGAGCAGAAGCAGCAGCCATGGCTAGTGGAAGAATGAAGAGTTTAGCTAGTGAGGTTCATAGAAATATTGTTGCTGGATTTTATGGGATGAACTGATGAAGTGGGACTTTATTGTTTATGGAAGTGTGGTGGTTATGAGCATTTAAGAGTGGGAAGGGAAGCCCAGGGGTTGTGGCTTGAATTCGTGCCTTTCTTTATAAAAGTGGAGTAATGGCAGTCACCAAAAAGAAGCGAGTGAAATATGAAATTGAAGGCGTGCAATTCGGTCAAATAAAGTAGGTGGGTGGTGAATTATGAAACATGTAGGAAAGGATCCGAGGAACAAATGGTTAAAAAAGAGAATTATGGGGATGTTTGATTGGAGGGTTTTAGGTATATTGTATTTTAGATGCAGAGATTTTTAAAAATTTAGGTTTTTGATTGCTGAGAAAAGTAAAAGTAAAATATTTTTTTTAGATGAGTTTGAAATTCATTCATAGGCTTCGTTTGGGACGGCTTTCTTATTGTTTCTTAAAGCAGTTTTTTAGTATAAAATTTTTAATTTTTTACTATCTGCTTTGAAAAGCAATAAGAAAACCGTCCCAAACGAAATCTTAGTTTATTTGTTTTATGTATCTGAAAATAGTTCGAGTAGGATGATTTTAGAATGCACCTTGACTTGCCCCATGATAGCGGGAAATTATTCTGTGTGGACTCCGAATGTAGAGTATCGTCCGGATTGCTACTTATTTGTTGAGTATTTACGACTTATTTTAAAATACGCATTAAATACTTAGCAAATAAGCAACATATTAGCAAAAGTCAACTAACACTAGATCAATACTCAGCAAGAACTTATCAAATACTCAATAAAAACTCATCAAATACTCACAACTGAGAATTTGTTGAGTATTTATTGCGTATCTACAAATACACAGTAAATATGCAGCAAATCCGAACGATCCTCTCCGTTCGGAGTCAGCAAAGAATAATTTCTCCATGTGAGCTCCAGTTGAGGCCTTTTTGTCTACTTCACATTATGCCGATCTTGTTGATCCTTGCCCCAAGTAAATTCCCCTCACGAGCTCCTTTGCTTTGCCACCCATCGTCAGTGATATTTATAGTTATTATGTACTCTTCATAATTCGTCTCCTTCACAAGCCACTGATTCCACCATGATCCTTGCTTTGAGCGAGCTACCCTCATGATTTCCTCTGGTCTATCACAAATTTCTTGTTCCATCGGTATCTCCTCACAAATAAGCTTTCGATATGATTTGTTCCTGGTACTTTTCCACCGACCTCAATATCAAGTGAGTTTGTGTACCTGCCATTGAGTAAGCTTTGTATTGTGTGTGCCCTAGGTTTATGCAACCATAAAAAAAAATGAACTCTTGAATTTAAATGCATTGAATTACCTTTTTACACTATATTTAAAATTCTCTTGAATGCTAAATTATAGCAACCAAACAACCTTATAAAAAATTGAGGCTCTATAAATGCAATTTGGTCCTGAATAATTTTGAAATTTTTAGGCTTATTTTGGGATGTGTATACTAAATAGATAATTGTTGTATTTTTCTCGAGACAAATTTAAGAATTTTGAAATATATTTTGAGTGATGTTTTAATTAGAATATTTTCTATCTTTTTTTTTTTTTTTCGAGAGCCAAAGTTAGGAGATAATTGGTTGAAGATCTTTCATATTACAAAATTTTAGGACAACAGGAGTACAAAAAGCCTAAAGGCTAGCTTTTACTTATGACTGATAAAACTAGGAATCTATCTCTTTTGAAATGTTGCAAAAATGGTAGAGATATATTGTAAAAATGGAACCCTCTTGATATTTGTATTTGTTTTCTTTTTAAATGAGAAGATTAAAGTAACTAGCTTTATATAGGCAAGAAGTGGGTTCACCTTCAATGAGTGGGTGAGTGCATTAGTGAGTGGCCAAGCGCTTGAGTGTCTCAACAAATACACTGGGCCAAGTGTTAATGTTGACAATGGTGCTAACATCCTCACGAGTAATTTGGTTGACCTCAAAGAGTTTCTTAGCAGGGGCGGAACCAGCTTCAATTTTGAGGAAGGCAAATACAGCACAAAAATAGTTAAATATTAAAAAAATAATATTATATATTTATATATTATGAATTTTTTTTTAATTAGAATATTTTCTATCTTTTTTGGATTCCTATGTATTAGGACATTATACATAATCAAACGAACGGTGATAAGGAATTTATTGCACGTAGATGAACAATAATACACATTTTTTAAATTTGTGCGATGGGTGATGATTCATCGATCAAGCTTCTTTTTGAAGGCAATAGACAATTAACCTTACATTTTGGAGTCTCGTGGCCCTTTAGTACGACGAGGATTTTAACTTTATAAATCTTAAAATTTTCAACCACTTGATTGATCATGACTTGTGAATCAATCATGTAGGAAAGGATCCGAGGAACAAATGGTTAAAAAGGAGAATTATGGGGATGTTTGATTGGAGGGTTTTAGGTATATTGTATTTTGAATGCAGATATTTTTAAAAATGTAGGTATTTGATTGCTTAGAAAAATAAAAGTAAAATATTTTTTTTAGATGAGTTTGAAATTCATTCTTAGGCTTCGTTTGGGACGGCTTTCTTATTGTTTCTTAAATCAGTTTTTTAGTATAAAACTTTTAATTTTTGTACTAGAAATCTGCTTTGAAAAGCAATAAGAAAGCCGTCCCAAACGAAATCTTAGTTTATTTGTTTTATGTATTTGAAAATAGTTCGAGTTGGATGATTTTAGAATGCACCTTGACTTGCCCCATGATAGCGGGAAATTATTTTGTGCGGACTCCGAACGTAGAGTATCGTCCGGATTGCTACTTATTTGTTGAGTATTTACAACTTATTTTAAAATACACATTAAATACTTAGCAAATAAGCAACATATTAGCAAAAGTCAACTAACACTGGATCAATACTCAGCAAGAACTTATCAAATACTCAATAAAAACTCATCAAATACTCACAATTGAGAATTTGTTGAGTATTTATTGCGTATCTACAAATACACAGTAAATATGCAGCAAATCCGAACGATCCTCTCCGTTCGGAGTCCGCATAAAATAATTTCTCCATGTCAGCTCCTGTTGCGGCCTCTTTGTCTACTTCACATTATGCCGATCTTGTTGATCCTTGCCCCAAGTAAATTCCCCTCACGAGCTCCTTTGCTTTGCCACCCATCGTCAGTGATATTTATAGTTATTATGTACTCTTCATAATTCGTCTCCTTCACAAGCCACTGATTCCACCATGATCCTTGCTTTGAGCGAGCTACCCTCATGATTTCCTCTGGTCTATCACAAATTTCTTGTTCCATCGGTATCTCCTCACAAATAAGCTTTCGATATGATTTGTTCCTGGTACTTTCCACCGACCTCAATATCAAGCGAGTTTGCGTACCTGCCATTGAGTAAGCTTTGTATTGTGTGCGCCCTAGGTTTATTTTAGTTTTGATTTTCAGAAGTTTTCATCTTTTTTATTAGTTCTTACCAACCATAAAAAATTAAATGCATTGAATTACCTTTACACTATATTTAAAATTCTCTTGAATGCTAAATTATTGCTACCAAACAACCTTATAAAAAACTGAGGCTCTATAAAATGCAATTTGGTCTTGAATAATTTTGAAATATATTTTGAGTGATGTTTTTATCAGAATATTTTCATTTTTTTTAGGGTCAAAGTTAGAAGATAATTTGATTGAAAATCTTGGATATTTCAAAATCAGGAGTACAAAAAGCCTAAAGGCTAGCTTTTACTTATGTCTGATTTTTCTTATATCTTCACACAAACAAATGATCTATAAGATAATGACCGATAAAACTAGGAATATATCTCTTTTGAAATGTTGCAAAAATGATAGAGATATATTGTAAAAATGGAACCCTCTTGATATTTGTATTTGTTTTCTTTTTAAATGAGAAGATTAAAGTAACTAGCTTTATATAGGCAAGAAGTGGGTTCACCTTCAATGAGTGGGTGAGTGCATTAGTGAGTGGCCAAGCGCTTGAGTGTCTCAACAAATACACTGGGCCAAGTGTTAATGTTGACAATGGTGCTAACATCCTCACGAGTAATTTGGTTGACCTCAAAGAGTTTCTTAGCAGGGGCGGAACCAGCTTCAATTTTGAGGAAGGCAAATACAGCACAAAAATAGTTAAATATTAAAAAAATAATATTATATATTTATATATTATGAATTTTTTTTAATTAGAATATTTTCTATCTTTTTTGGATTCCTATGTATTAGGACATTATACATAATCAAACGAACGGTGATAAGGAATTTATTGCACGTAGATGAACAATAATACACATTTTTTAAATTTGTGCGATGGGTGATGATTCATCGATCAAGCTTCTTTTTGAAGGCAATAGACAATTAACCTTACATTTTGGAGTCTCGTGGCCCTTTAGTACGACGAGGATTTTAACTTTATAAATCATAAAATTTTCAACCACTTGATTGATCATGACTTGTGAATCACTCAACATGTTGATTTCCATTATGGTGGCTAGCTCAATACTTCCAATTTAGGCTTTATATTCTATTTCATTATTTATTTGATGCTCTTAGTGGCTATAAGAATAGTGCAAGATCTTGCTTATTTGGGATACAAAGATGAGGCTTATACTTGCTCTCGTACCTTTTGGGGTTGATGGAGAAAAGGTGCCAAAGTAAAGGCAGAGAAGAAGCTTCGACATGTGAAATCCCAAAGGCAGCCAATTGCGGTTCCAAATGACGATAAAAGTTTTGGAATTATTATGGTTTAACAATTCTCTTCAAGTGTAGGAAATTAATGTAAGACTTAATGAAATTCTTAAAATATCTTTATAGAACTTACTCACATATGCGATTTTGGTTCCCGATACATACAAGAACTTTCTTTATAATTAAATTATGTAACTTTTACAAGAACTCCTAACATGCATTATGAGTTATCTAACTCTTGCAAGTACTTGCGTCATAATTTATGTAAAAGAAATCGAAACGGAAAACTTGAATTTACATAAGTCTTAAATTTTCAAGATCTTAAACAAGATGATTTTCACAATCTTTAATCGGAAGAAAAACATACCTTGCTTCATTTTGAATTCGTCAAATTTCGAACTACGGTTTCTCTCCCTTCTCCCTTCACTTTCTTCTTTTATGAGTTAGTTCTCTATGGAGCAAGATAACTCCTCCTTATGAGAGAGAGAGAGAGAGAGGACCAATAGTTATTTCCCGCGGATTGGTCATAATAACCGCTCATAGGAGTTATTTGATCAAACGGTTCATAAACGAATGATCAAATTATCTTTTCTTGACCAATAGAATTTAAACATAAATAATTAAATTTATCCGGTCTGACTCGATGATT